TTTTCGGCTTACTCACGTAAGAGGTAAGGATCAGCATTCCGCGACCCGCGACGCGGACTGCTGCGCGACATTCACCGCGTCGCGGGTCGCGGAATGCTGCTCATGAATATGAGCCTCTAGCATGGCTTGAAACAAGTCGAGTTTTTCGTCAAATAATTACGTGAGTAAACCGAAAAACATAATAATTAATTATTGTTCTTATTGTGAACCCCTTCATCGGCTGTTCAACATGTTGTAACATTTATTTAGTAAGAAGAAGAAAGAAAGAAAAAGCATTTATTTATCATGTGCATTGTGCAATGCTAAAAATTATGATAAAAAATTCTTTAAAAATAATAAAAAAATAGTCAAAGTTTGTTTTTGTTTAATTTATACTGAAGTACTTCCTTAGGTACTTAATTATTTCAGGTTTACATAATTTATGACAGGATTCCTTCGCCATATCTCTTCTCAAGAGTTTTAACTCTATTAAATAGTTTCAAACTATAGATCCAAGCGAAAATTCTTTTAACTGTACATGAGTATAATTTACTAAAAATACATTTTCATTGAATTACTCGAAAGTAAAAATAAAAAGTATAAAGCCGTCCAGTCCCCCTTTAATTACTTGTGAAGATAAACAATACTTTGAACAAGCTGGGCAATTATAGCAAATTATTCATTTTAAGTACACCATTTATTAGTACTGTCCAACAATCTGTTGTCAAAATGGGAATAAAAGATTAAAATTTTGTTCCTTTTGATTAAAATTTCAAACAATTAGTTGCTTTCCTAAGAAAATCTTGTAAGGCATTTAAAATTATTTCCTACTTATGTCTGCTGTGCTCCAAATAAAAAAAACAATAAAACTTTATTCCTATCTATTTAACGAATGAGTAAGTATAATCCACAATAGAGGCTATATCTACTGAGACCATTAAATACACAATAGTTGAATGTAATAGGTTGCTTATGGGCAGATGTGCTCCATCGTAGACTGCATCATCGCTTACTATTAGGCGAAATAGTGGTCAAACGTCAGCCCATCAAATATACAAAAAAAATCACTGACGAATCAGTAACACCTAATAAAAAATACCTAAAACTAATTTATTACCATCTTTTCATCACAGACTGTAAACCTATAACCCTGTCTACTCACCATAAACGTCTATAAAAACAGTTTACCTACCATAAAGTTTAGTTATCCTCTATCAACTAGAGCCATATAAAAACTCCTGAACGTTATCAATAAAGGGCAGCCATTACCTCAGGTATAATGACGTCGTTTCGTATAGAACTTAATTCTCCTCATAACCTCCTGATATATGAGCACTCGTGTGAGGAACTTGGTTTATGATGATGCCTGGTGTAAGATATTTAACCCTGATAAAGTATTTTTATTTTAAATTTAATGTTGTACTGGTATAAGGAGTCATAATATTATAATTATATTATAAGGAGGCATTATCGTCTGTAAACAAAAAGCTATCTTAAACTGTCAAACACCAAGCGGTTACCGGCGAACGCAACCTATTGTTCTATAATTGTGTCTATAATGACGGTACTCAACGAGTTAAGATAGTTTAATTACTATTTGGAGACTTTTCATCTTGGGTCACACCATAATTTTTAGACAAATAAAAAAAAATCAATGTATAGCCTAAAAACAAGTTATGTCTAACTTTGTAAATACTAAAACGTTGTGTATCTATTTGATTTTTTATGGGACAAGCCGGTAAACGAGCAGACGTGTCATCTGATGGTAAGAAATCGGCGTCACCCGACACCTAAAACACCAAAGCGTTACAAGTGCGTTACCGGTCTTTTGGGATTAGGAATTTGAGGATTGTTGGGGATTCAGGGATTGGAAATGGAGGGAGGGGTACTTGGGCCTCCAGTAACCTCACTCACGCGACGAAACATAACGCAAGCGTTGTTTTACGTCGGTCTTCTGTGAGGCCGTGGTATCACTCCAGTCGAGCCGGTCCTTTCGTGCCGAAGCATGGCTCTCCCACACTTAAATATTGATTTGACATTGAACTAACAACATTGGAACGTTTATACAACACATTTAAGTCTATCACTACAATTAAAATATAGTCCATTATGAATTACCTATACTTAATTAAAAGTCAACCTATCTACTAAAGTTCTTTCAACACCCAACACTAACCCCTAGTGGGGTTTTATTTCAAATCAATCAAGCTGTTAATCTAGTCCAGCTCAGCGGGAGGGAGCACTTTATTAAGTGGCAATTTATAAATAATTGTATCAAGAGTGTCTGCCCATGTAGCAAGCATTTATCTTCGTTATTTTTCCCTTAGTTATAACTAGTACTAGGTTGCTAGGCATAACTAAATAAACCTAGTTTTCTATGATTGTGGCTGCTGTCAAGAGGAATTTTCTTGTTATTTGGACTCTTATTTCATCTTTAAAATCAACGACATTAAGTATAAGTTCAACTGGCTTATATATTTTCAGTTTTTTCTATGCGCGAGGAATAGTGATTCACAGCTCCTCCCTTGTAGTTGATAACATGTTATTATGTAGCCTATATGTTGACCCGACCTGTTAATAATATTCACGCAAAATTTGAAGCAAATCCATTCAGCACTTGTTGTGTTCATCCCAGACATACAAACAGACAAAAATTATATAAACCATATTTTTGGCTTTGGTATCGACTTTAGATCACACCTAAAGCATTCTTAAAAAATATTAAATGTACAGTTTTACTTTCCTACTATTTTATTATATGTATAGATAAGATATTTAATTGGCCGACGTATGGCCACGGATCGGAATAATGTAGGTAATTAGGTAGAAAATCCAAATAAACTTCTTGTCCTCAAAAAAATTAACGATAAAATATACTCTAACTCATCAGCCATGTTTACAACTGCTAATGTAAGGCTACAAAACATAACATA